TACTTTTCTATCTTATTGAGGGTCAGAGACTAAATGGACGCCACTGAATCTATTTATCCATTGTTTTACATGCTAACTGCTGCTGTTCGGGGTCACAGGGGGCTAAAGCCTATCCCAGCTGTCACTGGGCAACAGCTGGGATACACCCTGGAAATGTGGCTATTCTATCAAGGGGCTTGACCACACATGATTTTCTTTCACAATCCTGGCCTTGGTTGTCTCTTTTGAACTTTCACTGAGCAATCCAACATGCTAGCAAGTTATGGTCAGCGACACCAAAATCCAGAGCCATAAAATAGCTCATTTACCAAAGCGCCCCTCTCTTAACATCATTAAATTCCTTCGCAGAAACGATACAGGGTTGGAAGCTTAAAGCAAACCGTGGCAGAAGCTAAGAGAAACTGATATCAAGCATGTGAGGTCTTAAATATTTTCAAGCGTGTGTGTGTGTGTGTGTGTGGTTTAAACTCCTTTTCAAAGATAACCCAAGAGAAACAAACATCACAATCAACAGCAAAAAAGTGATTAATGACTGTGACTGCTCCAAGAGTGCATCAGGTCCATGTTATTTTCTTTGAAGACTACAGCTTTTCCAGCAGTTGAAATAATTTGTATTTTTATCGTAAAGCCAATACTGGATACATTTGAAAGACTTTTGTCTCTAAATACAAATAACATTATTTTTTAAAAAAGGGCTTCCAACAATAAAACACAAAGCTTTTTCACTTTGAATGCTTTTCAAAGTGACATCTAGCCAATCAGTCCCTCAGGGAACAACAGTCTGATTAAGATGAAGTTTTCTCTTTTGCTCTTTTTTGTTTTTATTCTGCTTAAAGGACCTGAGCACACTGATGCCACTGATGAGTTGTTTTTTGTTGGGTTGTTTGATGAAGGACTAAAGACATTCCAGGAAGCATAATTCTTGAATAAGGAGATCTCCTTTTGTGCCAAGACATGTGGCTTGGACTACGCTCCCCTCCTAATTTGCAATCCCTCTTTGTTCCTTGCTCTGTCTCCTGCCTCTGCGTCTCCTATTAAGACTCATCCTCTGATTATTTGCCTTCTTTGATACTGTACTGTGTGTTGTCATCACATAGCAGCAAAATTGTGCAGGATACAAGCAGGCAAGAACCTGCGTGCATGCAGTATGTAAACCAAGTGTTTTCTGGTCTGAAGACTCGGGACAAGAGAAAAAAGCGAGTCTACTCCCTTGTTCATGATAAGAAGGCAGTCTAGTCTCCTGTTTATTATTTCACACTGTGCAGTCGCCGTTAGGGCCGAAAGATTTGCATTCATCTTTAATCGATATATCAGGAAAAAATCACTTTCACTGGAACTATTTGTTCTGACTGAAAGTATTTACTTTTACACTTCCAAGAATGTTATTAGCACTTTTTTTCATTCAGGACCTTCGCAGTGTTATTGTGAGCTCTGGTTCATCTAATTTCCCTTCAGTAAATTAGAAGCAGTTGTTACTCCCCAGTGCTAGCCGAGCATGAGCAGAGATTTTTCTTGTATCAGTGAAAGTAATACCAAAGCAAAGCACAGGTGGCTCTCAGACGTTCCCATGATTCCACATTCTCTCTCCAAGAATGAAAATATCAACTGCTAGCATGTGCCAACCTCTAAGGGAGTGTTAAACCTCAATCAGAGGACTGAAGTGTTTGTTTCATTTTATTCCTAAAAGTTAATTCTGTTTATCTAGGCATAGGGTTTTCAGTAGGAGAAACATTTAATCACGTCACTTATCTGCGTGACTTTTTCCAGTCTCAGCTGATCATGACAATTTGCATATTAATGATCGAGAAACGGACTTCCTTGTGTTTTCCTTACCTGGATAATTGAGCATGTATCAAGACATTGTACTTTATTCTTTTCAGGGTACCCATGTATCTGTCCAAATGATGGTAAGATTTTTCACATGCAATTAAAAAGTTAAACCACATGCACAGGAATGCAGTACTCTGGTGAGTGTTGTTTGACATTTTGACAATTAACTGATAAGACTGTATAAACAAGTGTGTCTGTGTGTCCTACAAACAGCAGCACTGCTTTCTTCTGTCACTAATGCTACGCTGATCCCTGCTCCTCGACCATCTGCTCCAAAAAGCCAAAAGGTTTGGATTTTCTGCAGCGGTCTGTGATGGTTGGGAGATGCCGCGGCTCTTGGTGCTCTGCGTGTTCGTAGCCATCTTCAGCTACGTTTCTGTTTCTATAGAGGTTTGCACCAGCTCCTTGATGCCAGGAGCTAAAGGTAACGCACTGTGGCGCTGTTGTAAATGTGTGTGTTTGCATTTTGACTGGATGTCAGCTTGATTTGTAAATGTTTATCTTTGCATAATGAAGTCTAAAATGTTTTCAACCTAAAATCAACAGTACTCATGTACTTTGTACTCATGTTTGTTCATGATGTTGGAAACGTTGTTGTGTCCCAACGTTACAGGAGAGTGTTAGAGTGTGAGAGTGCAACGTTCTGAGGAAATACCCCCTAAATGTTTTATAGTTTAAAGAGCTGATGATAAAGCCACCAAGCATTAAATGTTCTAAAGTTTACTAGCTCACTGTCTGCTACCCCGCGGTCTTTTGGAGGGAATGCCTCCCTGTGTGTGTTTTCCATTTTATGACATCCAGTGGCTTGCTCCCCTGCTGATTGAGACAGACAGACCCTAATAAAACACAAAGTGAAGCTATGCTTTTTTTCTCTCTTTTTTGCGCACTGTGCTGGAAAAAAACGAGAAAAAAAAAACGGCCTTTATTGTAAATGGAAGCCAGAGGCCCGTCTCTCAAGGAGCTGACATGCAGAAACTGAGATTGTTAAGCTAAAAGGCAAAAAAAATTTAAAAGATTCTCTCATTGTGACGAAGGCCATTTATTAAATTGTTGAAGTTTTATCATTTAATTTAATTTATTTTAGTTTTTTAGTTATTTATTTTATCTTATCTCATTTTAATTTTCTTTACTTATGCTTTTAGCATGTACAGCACTTTGTGAACTCTGGTTTTATGTTAAAGTGCTTTATAAATAAAGGTGGTATGGTATGGTATGATATGGTATATCCAAAACAAAGTCTGTTTTACAAAAGCAGCTTCTGAAATAAAGTTAAATTATGTTTGTGATGGGCAAAGGGAAGAGGCGTCTGTACCATCAGTTACACTTTCACAGCTTTCCAGAGAAGTTTCCCATTGTTCCATCGTGATATTGTGTATTTAGACAGCTGCCACAAACGCGAACAGATTATTTGTACAAGACTCATCCAGATACTTCTCACCACAGAGGCAGTCTCTTGAGTTTGTGTAGACTCACATCTGTGTATTTCGGTGGGTGACAGATGCGCATTTTTCCCAGTTTTAGACCCCTCAAAAATGTCTTACGACTTATTTTAACCTTTTTCAACAAACACAGTTTTATTACATTTACTGGTATGTTGACTTCATCATTCTTATATAGATTTACGGGAATTTTTTTTTTTTTTTTTTTTTAGACGTAAAAAAGTGGGACGCTGCAGGTCCAGTTCTTGAAATTGAACGACAATAAACACCGAATTCTGACATTTTTGGGGAAATAACCTATCTTATTGCTACTGCGACATGTTAAATAGCAGATGAATAGTGAAATAGTGATTGACACCTTAATCACACAAACCAGGCCTTTTGCTAATTTTATGCTACATGGTTTCAGTTTAGTAGTCCACAAAATTAAATAGTTACGCAGACTGTATCACTTGACCGTGCAGTGATTTAGCTTGAAAATGTCTACACAGCCGACCGAGCTGAATTATCAGTTTTCCTAAGTACTTCTGCCAGCCTAATAGAAGCAGACTCTAAGCAGAGTCCTTCTTTCTAAGCCCAGCATTTAACAAGATGTAAACTGCTGCCTGCATCAACAACTGAGGCGAAATTACTGTTTTAATAGACATTCAGAAATCTCTTAAGATTTCATGCCAAGAGCCTTTTGATCCATGGTCCCGCCTCAAACATTTCTGCTACACCTCATTTGTGCTTTCAGCTCTAAAAAGGACTTTGTGCCATTAATACTTTTAAAGCACCGATGTCTCTAAAAATTATACTGGCTCGCCGAAGACTTATTAAAACAGAGTTATTTCTTCTTTATAAACATCCAAAGAGGATTCAGTCCATCTCCTTGTGATGATTAGAAACACTCTGCCACACTTACATTGAAACTTAAACACAATCATTCACCAAAGCTCTTTGCTGAAGTGGTTTCTGACGTGCTGTTAGTGCTGATAATGGATCGCCACATTGATGGCCCTTTTGTTTAAAATCTTTCTTTTCTAAAATCCAGGGGACCAAGGTGAGATTGGAGATGATGGAGATCAGGGGAAACTGGGGAAGAATGGACCACCAGGACTTCCAGGTATCCAGTATCCTTCTAGTCAAAAATGGCTAAGCTGTAGGACAAAAACACGTAGACCCCGGTAATGTGTACACTCACAAAACGTGAAAGACATTTAGAAAGAAAAAAAAAGGATTCATACAACTTTTTGTCCACGAGCGCAGTCCTCATTGAGCCAGTAAATAAACTAATGTGTAAAATCAGTGGGGTTCCCCTTTATCACCAGTATAACCCAAATAAAATCTAATTTGCTTTTCTATCAGAGTGCGGTTTAGGATGGTGTAACAGGCAAGCATCAGTATAATCACAATGACTCTACATCTGCCTTAATGGCACTCAGACACTCAGTTAACAGGTGCAGGCGACTGCTTCCTTCCTGATATTTTCATTGTAGCTGCTCCCCATTCATCTGGTAAGTGTGCACACAGAGGCAAATGGAGCTGACTGCAGTACTTTTTAGTCATACGCTTGCTAACAAATACAAAAATGTGACTCTTATACTTAGTACAATTTTCCAAGTCTAATAAACGTGACACAATGCGCTTTGAAAAAAATTCCATTTGTATTTAAAACCTCTAAAAAAAAAAATCGAATTGCCAGGTTTTCAAATCACATACTGTAAAATAGTTTTTCCAAACTCACTTCTCAGAATTCTTTTTTACTTTTATTTTGAATAGATGTAAATACAAGAAAATCCCCAGCTTCTTCATTAGCATGTTTCCTTTAGGTATTGCAGTGGGGTAGAACAGCTGAAGGTTAAAAAGAAGAGAAAACGTGATGAGTGCCATAAGTGTACATCTATATAATCACACCTAGGAAATAAAAAAATTAAGTCTGGCTTCACCAGTCTCTTTTTTTTTAAAGTTAATTTTCCTTGCTTGTCTAATATGAACAAACATAGCTAGTAACAAAACCACCCAGTGTGCAGCTTTTGCATTTCCCTGCTGTTGCAGCTTGCCTCCCTTTGCTGTGGTGTGAGCTGCACTGTGCCACAGACAAACAGCACTGCACTGACATGACATCTGTATTTCTGTGGAGGAAGCAGATCTGTAAATTGCTGCTGATGAAAGCAGGGGTTTTCACAAGGTTTTTTTTCCCAGCTGAGCTGATAGGCATACACACAAATACCTGCTCACACATGCTTAAAAAAAAAAATGCATGCAATGCAGCATCCTGCACATGCCAGAGAGTACAAGACAACAGACACAGTTCACACGTGTGTAAATATAAATGCAATAAATATAGTGTCATGATCGTTTGTGTGCACACACCCAGCCTTTATTCTATAACGTCTCACAGAGCTCAGCACACATGTGCACGCTGCACACTGAAAACACCCTTCTTTTATCAGTGTGTGCGGGAGACGAATGTCAGGGCCGCTGGGGTCATTTTCAAAAGTGCAGAAAGCACGTGCACGTGAAACTCTTTCAACTTTTCAACTTTGCGGATATTATTCAACGATATAGAAAAGCCAGTCATTATGGTTTCTATGTGTGTATGCTTACTGTAGGCATGAAAGCAGGTTTCTGTGATGATTCTGTAACTGTAGTATGTCAGCAGCCTGACAGATGACGCATGTATTCCCTGTTTTAATTTAGGCAGTTTTACAGGAAACAGTTGCTTAATTTTGGAATGTTAAATGGGAATATGTGACTGCTAATGCTCCTGTGGGCAACAAAAACAGTTTGTTGCTCCAACAAACAACAAACTGTTGTGCTGGACTTGTACATTTTTTAGCTCGAATCGAAACTATAACTGAGGTTGAAATCTTTGCATTATAGACCAAAAAAAGTGGAAGAGCATGTCCAGTGCAAGGTTTTTAGAGCCAGTATCAACAGACAGTTTAAATACAGTATGTCTATAACCTAGTGAGGCGTTACGAGTCTCTGGTTCGTGTGTGCTGCACAGGGTGCCAGACAAACCATGAGATGACACACATCTATTTTTCCATTATGTATTGGCTGATATATCGCTCTGGCTCAAAACTATGGTGTTATATGAGGATCTTGGATCTTGTGCACTTTTAGGTAGCTAGAAGTGCACAACAGAACAACCTTATTTTCATGTTCCATCTCTCTATTAATCTCTACTAAACAGAAATGTCAAAAATGAGACTCCACTTCTGCAACTGTGCAAGCAACATTTAGTCAATACACTGATTTAAGATCATTTTAGAAACCAAACGCATTTTATTTTTGTTGTATTATGGCAACAGCTAGTTGCTTAGTTCAAGGGTGTTTTGAAATGACTGAAGGCTTTATTTAAATTGCCTTGGGCCCCAAGGCTTCGCCTTCTTTATCCTCCAGCAGCTGGAGATTCCAGACGTTAAACCAGTTGGGGTGGTTGGCCATTAAAAGTGATAGGAAGGACCGTTATCTGAACGTTGAGATAGGCCGTTTAACTGGCAAGCGTAAGCACTGCTAAAACATTATTCACCTGTTGCAGATGGAATAACAAAAGACCACCAGATTAACTTTCTTCGTGTGGCAACAAAACAAACACGTATAATCACTTCTTGTCGTCACTTGTCACTTCAGTGTTGTTGAAGCATTCACTTTGTGAGTGTGCTTCTCGGGCGCTTTCATGCAGAATTTTCCTAATTTAAAAGAAAAAAATAAATAAAAATCGCACCCTTGTGTGAGCAAATTTTTCCCAGCGACCTCACACAATCCATAAGAACTCATGCCTTCTGCCAACACTTCTCACAAATCACCGAGTCGAAAATCAACATGCGCAAGCGGGACATGTGAAATATTAGTGAATAGCTGGCTGTACGTGTGTGTGTGTGGCAAATCCCTCTAATAGTGGCAGGCTTCTCCAATGCGTCACTTAGTATTTCGAACGCCATCAATTTTCAGTTGAATAGTTTCCTGAGGAAACACTCATTCAGGGACTGGCAGAGAGCCTCGGTCTGCTAGTTTTCCCATGCGCATACACACACACACACACACACACACACACACACACAGCCTTTTAGTTTAATGTTCGCCATTTAGGATACATTTTTAAGGCACCCTCCAAAATCATGCACACTCCTGAGTTCTTCTAAAGACAAACAAAACAGTAAGCCAGGCAGTGGTAATCAGATTACAGTGTATGTCAATCCATTACTATCACTTTGTTTTTTAGATTAAAAAAATAAAACGTATTAATACATGATTAAATAAATAATAGTAAAAATGACACTAGAAATACATGCATTTAACAGACAGTGGATCCGACTGCAGTTTTTGCAGGGAGAATCCTTAAAAGATTGAATGGCGTGGAATAGAGTTGCCCAGATTATACAAAAGAAACTAAAATATAATGATACTAACACAAAAAGAAATTGATTATTATTAAAAGCGTAAATTAACACCATGATAATAACTGATTTTTCCAGTTTATGCTGACTTCGACCACATTTACAATATGTGAAGTTCCAACATGCACACATCCTCTACTTTTCTGGCATATGCAGACTATGTTGGACTGAAACAGCATTTTCAACACTTTTTCCAAATAATATTTCTTTATTCTGTCGCAAATACCTCCAAATCTCATCCTTCCTTTCTCCCGCAGGAGTGCCGGGGGAGTCGGGCCTTAAAGGAGAATTGGGCCACACAGGAAAGATTGGGCCTACTGGAGACAGAGGTACAGCAAAGTCATTTTAATCTAAAGTTCAGGTTTGATATGCAGTTTAACACAGTTTCCTGTCAGTCTCAGTGCTTCTCTAGTCCTGCCTCCTATCTGTCCATCCATCTGCCTGAAACCATACTGTAAAACCTTACTATTGCATTACTCATTCAAGTGTAATATTTACAATAAAATAATAAATAACTAAGAACTAATAAAGTGCATCAGGGGGTAATACTTAGTTCCTCAGTTTCCAAAAGCGAGAAAGATTAATGACCTTTCATTTTTCATTCGAGTGTATAAATTTGTTCTCGCTCCAGTGCCATTAAACATTTTGATAGGTAGCTGTGAGGTTTCTGCAGACGCTTAATGACTTTCAAATTGCCTTCAAGAAAAAATACGGCCTCCCGGATGCCCTCCTGAGATTTCACTGCCGCTCGCTCCCTAACAATGGTCTCAACTAAAACCCACATCACTACACTAACTGGCAGACTTAACTAGTCCCAAGACAAACACACAAGGAGAGTTTTTAAAAATTAAATCTGCTCATTATTGAGCTAACTAGACAGTTTCCACTAAAGGCTTGTATTTTTGTCCGTTTCTTTCACGTTTTAAGTTATCGCATCAAAAGATCCTGCAACATGATGTCATGCAGTTGCTCTGCCTGAAGTGGCTAAAACAGTTTCCATTGTAGTTTTTGTTTTTATGAGCAGTCATGTTCCCCTGTCTTTCTAGACATTCAGTTTCTCAGTATTCATTATGATTAATACGCTATTAGGAAAGTGGCTGTGTGTAAGCTATATCAGGCAAAGGAGTGAAGTCACAGCTTTGGATTTCATTGATGCTGAAAGCCCAAAACTCATAAAACACCTGAATAAAAACACTTGTTTTCAGGAACACGCCAACATAACAAGATCACAAGCTCAAATTCAGTTCGTGTTTGCAAGAATGTTGGCTGTGATACAGGAGCACTGAAGAAATTCAGTTCAGTTTCCACATGGGAAGTTGGTGTTCATTCATAATATAAAAACATGATAAATGAACAGACATCGCTTTTATAATTGTAACTCCATGTATATGGACCCTTATCAGATTGTCTGCAGAGCTTACATCGTTTTTGGCCAAAAGAACAACTATATAAATCTACAGACTGTAAAACTGTGGAGTTACTGAGTATATGGAACAAAAAAGGCAACTAACTGCAGCTGGAGGACTGTTTGGGATGAATTCTACTGTATACTCCACTGAGACACTGGAAAGCCGTATCAGGTCACATTTTACCATATTTACCCACTTGTGTTTTTCCATATTTTTTTGCAAAGGAGCTCAAACAAGCTCAAATAAATCAAATCCATCAGTATGGCAAAACAACTGGTCAGATTACAGGTACAGTATTTCACTGTTCTGGCTGTTCCTCATTCAAAGCTAGGCCATTGTGATGTTTGTACTGCAACCCACTTCCCCAAAATTTGCAACTGCCATTTGGGTTATTTTCCACAATGAAACAACAGTGTGAGTGCAAATTCAGGACAAGATTTTACACACAAACAGTAACATTTGATGATATCTCTCAATTAAAAATATATGTGGATGTTACTGTTATTTGGTATAAATTATCTTGTTGGAATAATTAATTGTGACCTAATGTTGGTCAAACTTTGACCATCTAGAAAGGTAAATAAATGGTAAATGGTCTGTATTTGTATAGCGCTTTACTTGGTCCTAAGGACCCCAAAGCGCTTTACACTATATGCAATCATCCACCCATTCACACACACATTCACACACTGGTGATGGCAAGCTACAAAGGCATGCGGCCCTGTTGAGTTTTCAATGTGTGACACAGCCATCTGGTGGTAGAACGTTGTAACTACATGACAAGGTCAACAGGAAGCTTCTACGAGGTTGAGATACAGCTAACAACAAAGGGTGCTATTAATGATTTTTGATTCTTCTGCAGGTGACAAGGGGGATAAAGGTGTAGATGGACCAGCTGGTTTAAAAGGGAAACCAGGTAACAGCATGCAGACACTGCCTCTCGTTTTAAGTCATACAGCCAAAACTAAAAAAGCTTTTTGCATGAGTCCTGTGAAAAACTAAGTACATTCCTACTGATCCCAGAGGAAGTATTAGAGTAAAAAGAGCTAGGTGCTGCTAATCAAAATGCACTTGATTAACTGGTCGTCACTTTTAACACTGATGTCAGTTTGCTGGTCTGGAGCGCTCAGATGTTTGGTAACACAATGACACCCAGTGGAGGTCAGAGCAAATTCGCTCCAGTGTCACACCATGCAATTCTCAGAGACACTGAGCTACATCTCAGCCTCTACAGGTCTTGGTTAGCATGTTAAATGTTAAAGTTCATGATAGTATAATCACAAAAGACTGAACAGGTATGGTTGTTTCGGAAGGATTGTCAGGAGAATGTCTCTTCTCTCTAAGCTGCATCTAAACAAATCACAAAACTCGAGCACTGTCCTTTGGATGGACCAGCCCAAAGTGGAGATGTTTAGAGCATATCAGCACAAACGCTCATACCAGCTATCAAGCACGGTGATGATTCCGATTTGTTTTGCAGCCACACGACCACGGCACCTTGCTGTCATTGAACTCATGCCTATGCCAAAGTATTCTGGAGTCAAATGTGAGGCCATCTGTCTGACAGCTAAAGTTTAGCCAAAAATGGGACAGTGATCTCAGGCACAGCAACAAATCTCTATCAGGATGGCTAAAAAAAAGAATAGAACCAAGGTTCAATGGTCAAAGACCAGACCTCATCTGGGTTGGAATGCTGTGGCAGGACCTGAAGAGAGTTGTATGTAAATGAATACCCCGCCTACACAGTGAAAAAGAGTGGGCCAGAATTCCTCCACAGCCATGTGAGAGATGATCAAGTCATGCAGTAACTCCAAGTTATTGCTGCTGAAAGTGGTTGTGCAAAATACTGAATCACTGGAAATGAATCAGTAACTTGTTGTAGGTCAAATGATAAAGTCTTACTCATGCAGTTAAACAACCTTGAAAAAGAATGCTGTAGTATTTACTTAAACTGTCATGGTATGGGCCGTTAGACCCCGTGTTTTGTGTTTAATATTAGTATTTTCTTATGTTTTGGGTTAATTCTTGTTTTCTTAGTTCCTAGGATTTGGGGTCTTGTGTTTAGTGTTGTGTTATAACCTGTGTCCTCCTCCGGTGCTCTGTTTGTGTCTCTGTGTTGGTAAAACAGTCTGTAAATTTCCTGTTTTACTTTGAAGGTCTGTGGCTCATCTTGCTCATTAGTTTCAGCTGTTTTCCTGTGTCATTTCCTGATTACCTTGTGTGCATGTGTATTTAGTGTGTGTCTACCTCTGCTCCTCGTCGGTTCATCTGTGTTGGTTATTATTTCAGATCTCCTCATTAGTGTTCCCAGTTTAGGTTTTTAGTAATTTCTCGTGCTTCGTTTCCTGTTTTTCACGTTGTAAATAAACGCTTACCTGCATCTAGCCGTCTCCTGAATATTGGGTCCTTTTTCTACAAACACCACACGACTGCTACCCCGGCCGTGACAAAAACTTTTAGCACACCCATAAGTGGATTTGATCTGGGAAACGGAGTTCAATAAACAACATTTAAACACATTACTAATGAATTCCTTCAAATTCCTTTCTGGGGGAAAAAAACAAGTATTTGTTTGTGACTCTCAATCGGTTCAAATAGATGCTAATGGAGATTGTCCCTAAGGGAGCAATGCTGTAGAAAAGCATTTAATGATCCTTATTACAATCACCAGTCCTTGTACCAAGAAGCAGGTTCCATATTTGTCTAATTTTCTGACATCTTCTGACATTCAGACAAATATTCATCCGAGCTGTCCTAACCCCATTTGATCTATTAGGTACAATGTGTGACTGTGGGAGGTACAGGAAGGTGGTTGGACAGCTCGATATCAATGTAGGCAAGCTGGGGAATGCAGTCAAGTTTGTGAAGAACGGTAAGTCGCTATGTTTTCAATCTTTTACTAGACACTAGACGATGTCTTACCTTTAAAATTTAATAGAAGGAACTTAGACAGGTTTCTGTGTGAAAGAGCTTGTATCAAGTCTGGCCTCAAAACACCAAATCCTTTCTTCATTCAAGAGTTACATTACACACTAGTCCCTTCATGCCTGTGCATCATCCTGCCACTTGACTTCTAATTTGATTTCTGTGTTAAGAAGAAAAAATCAGAACAATGAAAACATGCCTTTAAACTTATGTCAGATGACCTTTAACCTTTGCACATGTCCTGCTCAGTGGTTCTAGGCTTGAGAGAAACAGAAGAGAGGTACTACCTGCTGGTGAAGGAGCCCAAGAGGTTTAGAGAGGCTTCAATGAACTGCAAGCTCAGAGGAGGCAACCTGGCCATGCCTAAAAGCACCAGCATCAACCGTCTCATGGCAGACTATGTTAGTCAGGCAGGACTGACAAGAGTGTATATAGGAGTGCAGACTCAAACCAAGGGCATGGTAAGTGGTTTTGATAATATTAACTAGGTAGTAATTAGTAAGTCTAATGCTTTTTTGATACTTTTAATGTGGAAAAATAAAAGACGGTTGTGTAAAGTGTAAGAAGGACATATTTTAGGCTGTTGTGGGCAGTGTTGGTCAAAAACAGAACAAAATTAGTTAACAAATGATGACAAACTGTTGTTGTTGTTTTTAATCTCTTCTCTATTTTCTAAAATCAGGACGGGAGCAGTCACGTTTATGCAGACTCCACCCCTCTGCAGGGTTTTGCATCTTGGAGCCAAGAGGAGGAGCTACAGCCCAACACAAACTCCAGCTGCGTGGAGCTGCTCAGCACTGGAACGTGGGCTCACGTGGAGTGTGAAGCCACCATGTTTTTCATCTGTGAGTTCCCGAAGAGCAGGAGAAGAAGAGGAGGAAGAGAGGCAGTTGCCTCGTCATCATCTTGACCTTGACCACTCACTGCACATGTCAAGACAAGGATCAGACTCCTGAAAAAAACATTTATATTTCACATTTCCTGCAAATATGCAGACAATTTCAGTGATTGAGACTACTGTGTTTGTATATTTCACTAAGAACCATTACCACCAACAAATCAGTAAAATTGTTCTAAAATTAACTAAAATTGGGTTTCTTCTTTTAATTTCTTTTTCTTTTACAGTTGTAGTGGCTTTCACTATCTGAGAAAATATGGGGCTCACTTTTACTGCAGTTTTTACCAATTCTGTGGCACTGCATCGGTATCATTGAAGGCTGCGGCTGTACTGAAAAATTTATATCAGGGTTCAAGAGGTTGGTTTAAGCAATTAGATTAGAGTAAAACGGTCTTGTGCTTAAGCACACAGGATTATCGTGCTATTTCACACAGAGTTACTCACAACTCCAAAGTAAATTAAAGTTTACTAAACGTCTATAAGAGATTTACAACTGCTGTACCCTGCTGCTCAATTACAAGTGTCCAGAAGTACAAAGAATATACGAAGAAACCCCTGCTTGAACCCTGACAGTTGTTTCAAAATTACAAATACATTTGTACCTTCTTTAGGTACAGTTTGCTGATCAGCGTGGATAGAGTTCAACCACAAGTGGTACTAGAAATGGAGCAAACTAAAACCTGAAACTAACCCACATGAACAGAGGGCAAGTGGAAGTGGGTGGATCAAACTGACCTGGCAGATGATGGATTCTGTGGTAGCGGGGAGCTGAATAGTGCTGGATACGGGGACTGTGCTGAGATCTCGGGTAAAACCAGCATGAGAATCAAGGTCCAGTGGATCTTAGGAGTTTATCCTCTTGATTTAGCCTACTGATTCCCCAATGTCAACATCCCTCCATCAGACAATCATTATTTCAGACATTTTAATTGATTTCACTATAAAAGAACAAAGAAGAAGAATAAAACACCACACATACAAACATGCATATATTTTAAAAATATCCCAGTAATTACAAAACAAATGAAAAAATAGTTCCAGTGTTTCCAAAAGCAGGAGAAATATCTTGAATCAAGTCATTCAGACATAAATTAAAAAGTAAAATTTCTCAACAATGTGGGAGATTCACAGTCACAAACACATGGCTTGCACATGTTCACCTTGTGTTTCACTTTTGAACTACTGTAAGTGCACCTCAAAAATGCTGCAAAACATGGAATACCATATCCTTTAAAAAGACCTATTTTAACATAACTGTCATGGCTAACTGGGGTGAGCTGTGTGGAGCAAATAAATGAGGACCCAAGAGCAGGCACTCGCTGAGATGCGAAGGAGTTTTATTGCAAAATCAAACACAAGGTGAAAATGGCAAAACGGAACTAAAGATAATGCATACTGGGGGAAACTAAACAGCAGGGCTATAGGAGTCTGGGCCAGTTGTAACGGCAACAGTCTGGGTTAATTGTAACAATAATGCAAATGTTACAACTTACACCACTATTACTTTAACTGTTTTCTTTGAATTGCAGTATGTCGAGGTCGTGGAAGAGAAAGACTGACCGAGGGGTGCCTCTCAGTATTTTGGAGAGAGCATCAAATGATGTTAGAAATCCGGGAAAGCCCAACAGATCTGTGGCAAAATTGTATGGCATTTGCAATGTCAGTTTGCACTGATTTTGTAAAGAGAGGAAGAAGCTGGAAGAGCAGGGATCAAGGGGACTCCCACAGTAGGATACCATGGTGGAAAGATGGTCTTCACTGATAAATAAGAGAAAGAATTAACAGAATACCTGATGAGGGCTGCAGATGCATTTTATGGACTATCTCCACGTGAGGTAAGCAGATAGGAATTGATAAAGGATAAGGCAGGGGAAGGTTAGAAATTTGTAATAGTGGCAATTTAAAATATAGTATATTAGAAATACAAACATATTTCGTGATTAAAATTACAGGTAAAAGGACTGACATATCAGCTTGCAGTGAAACATGGATGCAAATATCCAAAGTCATGGGACTAATTCTGGAGGGCTGGACCAGAATGGTTCTCAGCCTACATGAA